CTTGAACTCTTCTGTAATTGGTTAACAGTTGGGAAGTGAATAAAGCTGATCTCAGTTAGTAGGCAAGGAGGCAAGCAGTCCTGGGGCAGCCTTGACGCAGTCTTAACGCGGTCTTGGGTGAGTTTCGACTTAGTGCTGAGATGAGAGGTTGAAACGATTCGATTTTCTGTGTGTATTTTTTCAATAGAAAGGTGGAGAATTCACCGAACTTGGTACCTCTGACGTGAAGGTTTAATAACACTCAATTAATCTTTCACACTATACACCCCAATTTTGTTAATCCAATCTGGCTTTCCTCTACACCAAACACCTCACATTCCCCCTTTGACTACTTTCCATGTCATATACCCCACATCATCAATTTGGTTGTCCTCTACGTTAAATGCCTTAACATACTTATCTACACCTTAGTATTGATAATTTGGCTGCTCTCTAAGTCAAACAATCGTAATCCGGCTTTTTTACACGCCCAGACACCATCAATTTGGCAACCTTTCATTCCACATACATCTATATCCCAATTCTTTCACATCAACTATATATATCTTAATATAATAATGTATACCATATCCTGGGTATGCTTTATTTTTGTAATCGACCATGCACATTCTGTACTTGTTACTGATTTTATTTCAAAAATTATATTCAAGTAAATTGTCCGATTACTTTTAGAACTGGCCTTATTGTTGGTGTTGTTTTTGGAGTTATTGGATCGATTATTTTCGTCATTGGCGGGATTGTTATCTGTATGTGTGTTTGTGCCAGTTCGGGAAATAATCAACGGACTGCTACTGTCTCCCACATACAAGGTAAGGCACGTTATATTTTACGGTGGTCCACAAATACAACATTACAAATTGACATGATATAACTTAAAATTCATAGGACATAACTTTAAATTCACTGGACATAACTATGAATTCACAGGACATAACTTCAAATTCTTAGAACATAACTTTAAATTCACAGAATATAACTTTAAATTCACAGGACATAACTTTAAATACACAGGACATAACTTTAAATTCACAAGACATAACTTTAGATTCACAGAACATAACTATAAATTCACAGGACATAACTTTAAATACACAGGACATAACTTTAAATTCACATGACATAACTTTAAATTCATAGGACATAACTTTAGATTCACAGGACATAACTTTAAATTCACAGGACATAACTTTAAATTCATAGGACATAACTTTAAATTCATAGGACATAACTTTAAATTCACAACACATAACTTTAAATTCACGGAACACAACTTTAG